ACTTGGCACTATTGGACCCACAAAAATAGCTCTGACCTCCATATATGCACCGACGACTCCAGACCCACAATTTTGGCAGATAATACAAGCTCACCTTAGCCAACATCCTAGCTACCAAAGAATAATAGGGGGGGACTTCAACGCTACAATCTCCCCATCTATAGACAGACAACGCTACTCCCCCCACACCCAGCAACCCACCCATCCCTCCAGAGCGGACAAAATGTTGGCCGACTTCATAACCCAAACGGGCCTCATAGACATATGGAGATCTCAACACCCAACAGACCGTGACTACACGTTCTACTCGCACCCCCATCACACCTACTCCCGCATTGACCTCTTTCTCATCTCACCATCCCTAATCCCCCACGTCACAAATTCTGCAATAGGCAACATTACCTGGTCTGACCACGCAGACATCACACTACAACTCCAACCACCACAAATCTCACGACCCTGGACCTGGAGGCTCAACCCTATACTACTCCATGACCCCCAAATAGTTGCCCAACTGAAGACAGAACTCACCCAATACTTCGACACCAATAAAGACTCGGTGCAATCACACGCGGTACTTTGGGCAGCACACAAAACAGTGCTCAGGGGATCCCTGATCAGCATAGCCACGGCGCAAAAAAAAAAACACATAGCCCACATAACATCCCTACTGGACCAGATCAGACAACTCGAAGCACAACACAAACTAACCCCCACACAAGATCTCACAACACAACTGCACCACCAGCGCCAGGCCCTTAAACAGGCCATGGCGAAAGACGCAACTAAAGCTTTACAATGGACAAAACAAATGTTCTACGAAAAATCAAACAAAGCAGACACACTACTGGCCCGAAGGCTACGCAAACGCCAGCAAGCCAAGCAAATCACCACCATCCATACCCCTACAGGCCAACCAACCGACATACCCAATAAAATAGCCGAGACCTTCCAAAAGTATTTCACTGACCTATACGACCACTCCCCTCAACACCGCCAAGATGACGGCCCCCTACACGATAACATACAAACCCTCCTAGCAAAGGCCCACATTCCGACACTCACGACGGAGGCTCAAGCACACCTCTCTACAGAAATTAGAGGAGGAGGTGAGGAGAGTCATAGGCACCACGAAACCCAACAAAAGCCCAGGCCCGGACGGATACTCGGGCATCTACTACAAAACATTCACAGACAACCTGCTACCCTACATGACAAAGCTATATAATTCGCTCATGACTGGAGATCAGCTGCCCGAGGACATGCTGGAGGCAAACATACCTACTACCCAAACCTGGCAAACCGCATACGGAACCAGGTCACTACAGACCCATTTCCCTATTAAACGTAGACATCAAAATCTTCACCAAAATCCTTGCCAACAGACTGCTCCCCTACATCCCATCGACAATCCACCCCGACCAGGTCGGATTTGTCCCCACAAGACAAGCGAGCGACCACACCAGACGGACTTTAGACCTCATATGGGTAGCCAATCACCGTCACATCCCCACCCTCCTACTATCCCTTGACGCCGAGAAGGCATTTGATAGACTACTATGGCCCTTCCTCTTCGCCACCTTAGAGAAACTCCAATTCCCAACACCATTCACGACAGCCCTCAAAACGATCTACTCAGTCCCAAAAGCAAAATTACTCATCCCAAACGCCCAACCCCCCCACTTCCCTATACATAACGGAACGAGGCAGGGCTGCCCACTGTCCCCGATCCTTTTTGCCCTATCATTGGAACCACTTTTACACCTCATACGCACCACCGCTACCATCACGGGCATTACAGTACGCTCCCAAGCTTACAAGGTGGCGGCGTACGCCGATGACCTGCTCCTAACGCTAACTGAACCCCTCACCGCCCTCCCACCACTCCTACAACTGGTGAAAGAATACTCAGCAGCCTCAGGATATAAACTAAACCTGGACAAGACAGAGGCACTTAGCATAAATATCGACCAAGACACGATGGAGACACTACTGGAAACATACAGGTTTCGCTACAACACATCCCACATCCCATACCTAGGTATACAGCTACCAGCAGCACTACACCGCACATACGCCCTGAACTACACCCCAATGATACAGAAAGCAACGGACGATCTCAAAAGATGGCAAAACCTATCACTATCATGGTTAGGCCGCATTGCATCAGTAAAGATGAACCTCCTACCCCGCTTCCTTTACCTATTTCAAACCCTCCCCATCCCACTCCCCACAACAGACGCAAAATATGTCCAAAAACTAATAGACAACTTTATCTGGGCAAATAAAAGACCCAGAATAAAAAGGAGCACCATGTACATCCCCAATAGGACGGGAGGACTGGGACTACCCCATCTCCAAAACTACTATTACGCCGCACAGCTCACACAGATCCAACACTGGCACACCCCGCAGGGGATCAAACGATGGGCGGACCTGGAACATGACCTATTCGGACGCGACCACCCATCCCTCTACATATGGGTACCAAAGAAATCATGCCCCCTACCACCACCAGCAATCACAAACTCAATAGACTTGTGGGATAAAACGTCCCGGAAATTCCCCATCATAAACAACCCGACACCATTGACGCCAATACTACGCAATAGAGCATTCCCCCCAGGGTTAACACCCAAAGACTTTGCACACTACGAACAAAACGACCTGTCCAGACTGCACCACTTCTACACGGGAACGCAAATTACCCCATACAACGACCTTCCCAACACGCAGGCAACATATACCACTCACGATTTCTTTCGCTACATACAACTACGAAGCTTCTTAGAGCAACCCGACAACGCCAAAGCAGCCACCACCACGCTCACACGGTTTGAGAGGTCATGCCTACATAATCCACTCCACAAAGGTCAAATCACGGAAAACTACACACTTCTTATCACCAACCAACCCAAGGGGGCCTCGACATATGTGGTGGCCTGGGAGAGGGACTTAGGGCCACCGGGCGACCCCACTGACTGGCAAGATATCTGGGAGGCAACGGCCTCAATATCCATATGCGTTAACCATAAGGAGCAAGCGTATAAAACACTGCTCCGATGGTACCTAACCCCGGTACGTTTGTACCATATGGGCAAAGCAGACGCGGACCTATGCTGGAAAAACTGCGGGCAGAGAGGCACATACATACACACATGGTGGCATTGCCCTAAACTGGCCCCATTGTGGGCGGAAGTAGCTACCCTAGTCTCAACACTCCTCCAGACCACCATACCATTAGACCCCTGGACCTGGCTCCTCTCCAGACCACGAGAGGACCTGACCAGAGCCCAAAACAAAATGACAAACCGGATAGCCTCAGGGAAATGATCAGCAGGGAGCAGGAAGGGATAGAAGGATCACAAAGGTAAAGGAGCATAAAGAATCAGAAGGAGCACAAAGGTAAAGTAGGAGGAGCAGAAAGGGGCAGCAAGAAGCAGGAGGGGACAGAAGGAGCACAAAGATAAAGTGGGAGAAGGAACAGAAAAGAGAAGGAACAGAAATCAGCAGAAAGGGTCAGCAAGGAGCAGAAAGGGTCTGCAGGGAGCAGAAAGGTTAAGTAGGAAAAGGAGCAGAAAGGGGCAGCAAGGAGTAGGAAGGGAGAGAAGGAGCACAAAGGTAAAGGAGCAGAAAGATTCAGAAGGAGTATAAAGGTAAAGTAGGAGAAGGAGCATAAATGAACAGAAAGGGTCAGCAAGGAGCAGTAAGGCTCAGAAAGGGACAGAAGGAGCAGGAAGGATCACTAAGGAGCAGAAATGGTCAGCAAGGAGCAGGAAGCTTCAGAAAAAGACACAAGGAGCAGGAAGGACCAGCAAGGAGCAGAAATGGTCAGAAAGGAACAGGAAGGGACAGAAGGATCACAAAGGTAAAATGTGACAGAACCATCTGTCTGTGGATTACTTTTATTTTCCCTTCATTCGTCTGTTTGTTCGGCTATTTCCCTGTCCGTACAGCCCCTACGTTTATTTCCTCTTTTTACCGAACAACTGCCGAACGGCTGGCCACCCAGCATGGAAGTGTGCTGCTTGTTAACCTCTTGGCCACATCAGAACGTTGTGGTTAACCACAGACACTTCCTAATTGTTGAATGTCGGCTGGGTGGTCATCGTTCATATGAACGAACACGAGGCGGCGGCCATCTTGGACATACGAACGCTCAGCGGTGTTTGTCGATTTCATGGAACTAAAAATGGACACTATTTCTCACGAACACCGCTGAAGCCACGACCCCCTTCTCTTGTTCTCATTCGTATACGAACACCGGGCCGTTCGGGACTTTGGCTGTGTGAACCAAGTTACCCCAGATAGTCATCCCATGGAGCCCATTCATATGCCGAAAGAAAATGTGAAAGACTTTGGCTCCATAGCGATTGAACTGTATGTTTGTGATCTGAGCGCCATTCAGTAATAATGTGCACTCAGATCTAAGCTATCTGGGGATACGTTAATTGAACCTAGTGCATTCGGTATTTTGTGACATATTTTTATGTAACTCTCAGTTTACTTGTAAAATGGAGTCTAGTCCCTATCCTCGGAGATAATTGAGTTACTTCCCAATTATCTCCAGGATAGGGAGGAGGGTTTACATCTACCTGTGGGAGTGGAGCCATCGTTGCCGCATCTCCAGCAGTCGCCGGGCGTCTCCGCGTTTATGCGATGCAGAATATCTGGGGTTCTGTACCAGTGTGTTAGAATCTTAAAGCTCGTCTCCTGGAATTTGGAGCTGATGGAGCATTTATGTGTTAATATAAAAATCTTTTCACATTCCTGTTCTGTGAGCGTGGTCCCTGTCTCTCTCTCCAATCTTTGGCTCCATGGCGATTGAACTGTATGTATGTGATCTGAGCGCCATTCAGTAATAATGTGTGCTCAGATCTAACCTATCTGGGGATACGTTAATTGAACCTAGTGCATTCGGTATTTTGTGACTTATATATTTATTTATTTTTGACATTCTTTATTTTTCATTTATTTAATACAATACAATTACAGGCAATAGGCAGTCTCAGAGTACAAAGAACATATTCAGTTTTGTTTGGTTACCTTTATATAGGCAATGAGGGAAGAACACTTAAATTCCCTGTTGGCAGATAGTACAGCAGGACAGTTGAAATTATCTTTGTGTATAAATATAACCGTAACTATAACAGCAAAGATACAACTTAGCAACAAATGTGGCCGCAAACCTAATACATCAATGGGACTCATGAGATATATGCGAAAAGCGGGGTGTGGGAGGTGCTGCTATCCCTTATACATCATTAAGCGGGGGTTCGTGTCTATATTTAGCGTCTACCGCCCTACCCTTGATGGCCACCTGGTGAGCCAGCCCGTGACCCTAGTCCTTGGTGGTTTCCACCGAACCTCTAGACCGGTATAGTGGTTCGTGCGAGATATATATTAGCTGCAGGGTGCCCTCTGGCATATCTGCACCCCCACCTGTCCCCTAACGTTATAAGCTGGAGTCTTCTAGGGACTAAATCGGGCAGCTTTTTACCTGGTTAGCCCGTTAGGCCCAGTTTGGAACAAGAGCGTTTAACTGAGAGTCCTGAAGGATCACCTCCCCGTCCACAGGGAGGCGTTGTTAGCCTCCTGCCCTCTGGCCGAATCCCCTCAAAAATGAGAACCTCCCAACCACCCCTAAGAGAGCCCCGCGATCCCCTAGCCTCCCAGTGCCTATGTGGCCTAATGTCAGCCTTTACCTTGTGTCACCCCATAGCTCCCCAAATGTCCTGCATGTCTGGTTAGTGGATAGATGAGCTTGTGAGCCTACTCCCGTGTAGTCGCCCCAGTTTGTCGTCCATCTGGATATCGGGGTGGGGAAGGGAGGGAATAGTCATAGCCGTGTGGTTAGGGAAGTGTAACACCCCTATCTGTCAGTCTGTTGGGGGTGGAAAGAGTTGTGCCGGAGCGGGGGCACCACCATCCCCGGACGGGACATCCCCCGCGGCACCCCTCGCTGTGTACTCCATCCATGGAAACCATGTTAGGGCACATTTATCCGAGCGCCCCTGCAGAGACGCAGTCATCATTTCCATGTTGTAGATCATTTCCACTCTGTCTACCCATTGGCGAAAGGTAGGAGCCACGAGCTTCTCCACAGCGTGGGGATGAGCGATTTTGCTGCCGTGAGTAGGTGTATAACGAGGCCCCTTTTGTAGGTGGTCACTGGCGTGCTCGTGTGATTCAGCAACATCGGCAATGGCTGGAAAGGGATGTCTGTCCCAGTAACGTCTTTAATCATTTGGTGTATCTCTCGCCAGAAAGGTTCAATGCGTGTGCACGACCACCAGATGTGGATCCCGGTACCATCTGCGGCTCCACACCTCCAGCACTCGCCAGAGATGGACTCTTGGACGTGATGAAGGATGCCCGGGGTTCTATGCCATCGCGACAATATCTTATAATTGCATTCCTGAAACTTTGAGCTAATGGTCCCCTTGTGCGTCAATTGGAAGATTTTTTGCCATTCTGTTTCAGATAGCTCTGGTCCCCGCTGCTTTGCAGCGTAGAGTATAGGTGCGATATGCCGTGGGTAATATGCTGTCTGGCTACGCAGAGTTGTTCGAAGTGGGACAGTGGGCGGTGAAGGTGAGCCTTCCCAGCGAACGAGGCTACGTAAGTTTTGAGCTGGTAATAGCGAAATTTGTCAAGGACGCTTGGCCCGCGGTCTTGGAGTAGAGCGGCCAGTGGTTTAAGAGCTGGTCCATTGCACCACTGGTGCAGGTAGGTCCAATCCGTGGCCCCAAAGTTCTTCAGATCTCCCGGGGAAAGTCCCTCCGCTAATCTTGGGTTATGTGTCACGGGCGTAAGCGGATTTGGCGACGATGTAAGTTTTTGGGAATATCGAATGCTACACCATACCTTCAATGTAGCGTCTATCAACGGGTTGCCCGTTTGCAGCTCCTGGAATGTGGCGTCTCCCAGCCATAGCTGGGCAGGGATTTTACCTCCCCGAGCCTGTTTCTTTTCCATGTCTACCCACTGTTTCCCGCTTGGGGCCACATGCCAATCTACTAGCCGGTAAAGGTATGATGCCCGGTAGTAAGTGAGGACTGAAGGCAGTCCCATGCCTCCATCGCTTCTGGGACGTTCCAGTATCGCTTGCCGTACGCGGACGGGTTTCTGGTTCCACACGAACTGCCTAAAGGATGTCGATAGTGTTTGGAAGAAAGTCCGAGGGATACTGACCGGGATCGTCTGGAACAGGTACAGTATTCGGGGCATAACATTCATTTATACGGCCAAACCAAGATACATATTGAGGGGCCCAGCGCCTCATGTCTTGTTGCAGGATTGTGAGTAGAGGGGCGAAGTTCATGGAGTAGGTTTGAGCTAGGTCACTCGGTAGCCAGATGCCTAGGTACCGCAATTTGTTCGAGCAGATCCGGAAGGGGAAGTGCGCCTGGATATGTCTCCGGAGGGCTGGATCTCGTGTAAGTGGCATCAATTCCGACCTGTCTAGGTTGAGTTTCAAGTTGGAAACTGCGCTGTAAAGTCGGAAAGCCTCTAGAAGATTCGGTAATGAAATTCTCTGTTTCTCTAGGAGAAAGAGCATGTCGTCGGCGTATGCCACCACCCAATGCTCTCCCCCCCCCCCACCCGGCACCCCACTATGCCCCCATCCCATCTGACTGCCTCCAGGAAGGGTTCCAGGGTGAGGGCAAACAGGAGGGGGGACAGGGGGCAGCCCTGGCGCGTTCCATTGCAAATATTGGGAGTGCTCCATTATCCTGTATGCGCGCAGTTGGCTTGGTATACAGCGACGCCACCCAAGACCGCAGACCAGGTCCAAATCCCATGTGCCCCAGGGTCTCCAGCATGTAAATCAAATCAACTCTATCGAACGCCTTCTCGGCGTCGGTGGAAAGCAGCACCATCTCCTTCCCGTTGGTTTGAGCTACGTGGATAGAGTTGAGGGCCCGTATGGTATTATCACGGGCCTCCCATCCAGGTATAAACCCGACCTGATCCGGGTGAATGCTTTAGCGAACAATTTAAGGTCCGCGATTAGCAATGAAATTGGCCTGTAGCTGGCACAGTCCATGGGGTCTTTGCCTTCCTTTGGGAGGATCGTGACCGTTGCCCTCAGAGTATCTTCATGAAACCGACCTCCCTCCCGCAGAGAGTTTAGCCCTGTTACCAGGCGGGGCAGGAGGATATCCCTGAAGGCACGTAGATAAGAGGCTGGTAAACCGTCCGGCCCCGGCGCCCTATGAGCCTTGGTGGACTTCAACGCTCCCGAAAGTTCCTCCACCATCAAAGGTACCTCCAGGTCCGCCTCCTGCTCCGGAGAGAGTCTGCGTGAGACATGGGTTTGTAGGTACGCTACAATCCTCTCCTTGTGTAGTCGTTCCTCCGAAGCCGTGTGGCGTTGTGTTTGGTCATATAGTGCCGCGTAATACTCCTGAAACGCGGTCAATATGCCATTTGGGAGGTGTGTGATGTCCCTCCCCCGCCCCGTGCGTATTTTATGGACATGTTGCATCCTGCTCTTCTCTAGGAGCATCCGTGCTAATAGCCTCCCGCTCTTATTGGAGTGTTCGTAATAGTACCTAGCGGCATTCCTCGCGGTGAGCAGCAGCCCCTGCGACAGAATAGTTTTCAGTTCCCTACGTGCCTCAACAAGTCTGAGGCAAGTGCCCTCATCCAAGGACTGCTTATGAGTCCCCTCTAGTTCTGCGATGTGTGTTGTCAAGCTTGTAATGCGGGCTAGTCTATCCTTTTTGCGCCTGGTGCTCTCCGCAATGAAGAAGCCCCGAATGACGCATTTGTGCGCCTCCCAAAGCCTTAAGGGGGTCGTGTCAGGGTTGTCATTGGTGGTAAAGTAATCGGTCAGGGTGCGGGCCGCTGACTGTGTGAGTGCCATATCGTCCAGCATGGCTTTGTTGAGCTTCCACTGTCTTTCGCTAGGCTTGAATAGCGGGGAGCTTGTATGAACCAGAACTGGTGCATGATCCGAGTGATCCATGATGCCTATTTGCGATCCCTGCAAGAGGTTTAAAAATTCTTGCGCCAGAAAGACAATCAATGCGGCTGTAATGTGCGTGTGCTGTGGAATAATGGGTATAGTCCCTCCCTTCCGGATTGCAAGCCCTCCAGCAATCTACAAGTCCTATTTTGTGCAAGGAGCACTGGATCAGTCGGATACAGTGCGCCGGGACTGCGGTCATTCCCCTGGAAGTATCCAGCCATGGGTCCAGTGGGATATTGAGGTCACCGGCAAGGACCAAAAGGTCCTCTCGAAATCTCTCTAATTTGGCTAGCGTCTGGGATAGGAAGGTGTGTTGTCCCCTATTTGGGCAGTATAGGCATGCGAATGTGTAAGCATGGTCCGCTATGGTGCCCTTTAAGAATAGGTACCTCCCCATCGGATCCACCTGGGACGCCAAATGTTGGAAAGGCGTTGTCTGGGTGAAGAGTATGGCCACACCTGCTTTTTTCGCAGTTTGGTGATTAGCGTAAAATCCTTGCGGGAATCGCCGATTCTCCAATTTGGGAGCATCTCCCCCTTTGAGGTGCGTCTGCTTTGGCGGCCCAGAGGTGCCTTAGCAAATGTGATAATTTTTCGGGCGTGTTAAGCCCTTGTACATTGTTAGTCTGTATTGGTGTCACCGTAAGATGTGGTGGTCGGAACCGTCCCAGTTTCCGTCAGCACCCTCCCTGTGTGTCATGTATGCGAGTATCCAGATGCTAGGGTAAAGATAACTTGAGGAAAGCTATGTGAACCATCTCCCCCTGAAACCCGCGGGGTGCCTGTATGCGCGTACCCCCCCGAGGCATTAGCCCGTATCCAAAGAGGGCCATCAGCTTGTCAAAGGTCCCCGCCCCTCCCCCTCTTGATAGGACTAATCTTGTCTGTAAGGACTCCCCCCAGCAACCCTCTGCAATTCGCCTCTAGGCACCGGGTTCCCGGTGAACTCCATCTCCCCCTACCGGAGACTCGGGGCATGAGTAAAAGTGGGTTTTGTATCTCATGCCTGGGACCTGCCGGCGCGCAGCGTGGCGCCTCTCGTTGTGTGGGACAAGATCTCACGGGCCAGAATCTTGGGTGGGGGCCTATAGGGGCGGCAAGAGGTCCCTCCGTGTGAGCCTCCATGTGGCATACCTCTGCCCCTGATCGCTTGTCAGAAAATTTGCCATGGTGTGGGTCTCTCCATCCCCCCCCGAGAGACTATGCCCCTACTTGGCTGCAGGAGACACCGCTACACCCCAGCCCCCCCCGCTACACCCCTGTCTGGCCCCCCCCTGCACACCCCCACCTCACACCGGACCCACCCCGCCTCTGACCCGTGACCCCCCCTTGCACCCAGCTCAGAATCCCCCAGTCCCTGCGGGAGCATCCTCCGTGGTCGCACCCTTGCCCCGCCCCAATATGCAAATTAAGTGAGTTAGACGCTGGAGCCTCCCTCTGCAAACCCCTACCCGGGCGGCCTAGCTAGGCAAAACCACCTACCACATGTCCCACCCGTCCCCCCACCCCCACAAAGGAAAGGAAAAAGAGGGGAGGGAAGAAGGCACCCGCACATGTCCCCAAGCCCCACCATTGTCCGCCGGTCCCCACCGGACCCTGCAGTCCCACAGGCCCAGTCCAGCCCAGTCAACCCTGCCCGCCCAACCTGCGGTGGATCCCTCCAGGTAGCCCCCGGATGGGTAGCCCCCCATGAGGGGGGGACCCCGGCACTAAAACCCCAAACCCGTGGAGCCCTTCCCACCCCACCTAGCTACTGGCCCCCCTGCCAATCAGCTAACTTTCACGGTGACCTGTCCACCACAGTACATACCCCGGCCAGGGAGGTCCGGACTTCACGACTGGGCCACCATTGAACCCGCCATAATGGAGCCAGAGGTCCGATGGGAGTCCTGACGGACCCGGCACCCCCCGGGAACCCGCTGCCGGACATGGGGGAAGCCGGCGCTCCGGAGAAACCGGGGAACATCAGTAGGCCATCTGAGTACATGCCACAGGTTGTCCACCCGGGCCTGAAGACTGAAGGGGAAGCCCCACTTATACGGGATTCTTCTCTCCTGGAGCAGGCGGGTGAGCGGCCTCAGGGCCCGCCGGGCATCTAAGGTGGTCTGCGACAGATCCTGATACAGGGACACCGGAGCGTCCATATAGCGGAGGTCGGGTCGAGAGCGCGCTGCCCTCATCAGCTCCTCTTTGAGCGGGAACGACGACAGAGCGCAAATCGTGTCCCTCGGAAGGCCATCACGCCTGGGCGCCTGCAGTGCCCTGTGTGCTCGTTCGATGCCGAAGTCTTCTGGCGCCGCCTCTCCCAGCAGGTGTGTGAACAGGCCGGTAAGTATCTCGTGCGGCATCTCCCCTTCTGTCTCCGGCAACCCCCGGACCCTGATGTTTTTACGCTGTCCTCTATTGTCAAGGTCTTTGACCTGACGGTGGAGGTCCAGGAGTAGGTTCCCCTGCCTGGTGGTTGCCAGGTCCACTGCTTGCTGCCGGTGGGAATTCTGTAGGCGTTCTGCATCCAGGGCGTCCACGTGGTGCTCCAGGGTGGTAAGATCCGCACGAACCGCAGCAATCTCCTCCCTAATAACTGCCCGCAGCTCTGCTACCATTTCAGACTTGTCTCGCCTGGTCAGCATGCTGGAGGAGATCGCGGCGATATCCAGCGAGATTTGTGAAAGGGCCGCCGGCTCTATGGTGCCGCTGGACGAGCCGGCAATGCTGGAGCCTGGAGAGGCGGGAATCGACGTGTCCGTGGCGTTCTGCAGGCCCTGCGGCCCAGTGAGGAAATCGTCCATCGGCCCGTATTGAGACCGCAACAAAGCCCCTCCGGGCTGCCCAGAACTTAGTGCTCGTTTAGTTTTCCCCATATTTGCGGTATTTGAGAGATTCTGGATGCTAGTTAACACGGGCTTTACAGGGTGAGGCCTAGGAGCACGGGGACCGTGCGTCTCACTCCATCAGTGGTCAGGCCATGCCCCGACTTATATTTTTATGTGATTTTCAGTTTACTTGTAAAATGGAGTCTAGTCCCTATCCTCAGAGATAATTGAGTTACTTCCCAATTATCTCCAGGATAGGGAGGCGGGTTTACATCTACCTGTGGGAGTGTTTAACTATGTGCCATGCTATGATTGGTTACTGTCTTAAGTTGTCCCAGTTTTCCACCAGGGCAGGTAGCCCACATTAAACCAGATTCCTGCTGACCCTCAATACGGAGCCTTGTCTCGTATTTTGGGGGAATTATTTGTATGGTTTTCTCCCGTTTGGCTGTTTGGAGTGTGGATGATTCGTATGATTTTTTTTTTTTTGTGACAATCTTTATTTTTGCCTTTCGTCATGGTTACTATTTTACAGTTAGTGAACAAGGTACAATCCTGTAGCTCTTATAATATGTGAGATCAAACATTATTTGAATGACAATTTGTGTAGGAAACATTATTTGTTGTCCCTATAGGTACAAGTAGCGGCATTTTAGGGTGTCAGTGATAGGGTTTGGTACACACTTGCACCGTATAACGGACTGGTGTAACAGTATAACAGTAGTCGTGGGGCTAGTGGATCGTGCCTGTGCAGAATTTCTGCGTTGCGTCTTAACTAAGGCCTATGCGTTTAACTAGTATGTAGTGTCCTAGTTAGGTTAGCATGGCCACCCGGGTGTTGGTTGGGTCCTACGTCCGTTGTGTCGGGAGCAGACTTGCGCCTGTAGTCACGGGTAATTTTCTCTATGCAGTAGTCTTTGGAGGGGGTAAGTCCCGGTCATCGGTCAGTCCGTCTGTCAGGGCAGGAGTGTGGCAAGGGGGGGTGGAGAGTGGGGGGATGAAGGGATGTGTCTGAGGGCTCCCGGTTCCCCGCCCGCCCGCCGAGAGGTACCACAGCCAGGGCGTCCAAGTGCGAGTACATTTCTCTTGTATAATGCAACGCCGCTGTAAGGTATTCCATGTTGTAGATTTCTCCCACCCTGTCTATCCACTGCCGGGCGTGGGCGCATCCCTCTGCCTCCACCTTGTGGGGACCAGGGAATTGGCTGCTGTCAGTAGATGTTTTACTAGGGATTTTTTCTATGCTGAGAGGTGTGGTGTAATAGCATGGTGAGGGGCTGGAATGGCAAGGCAATGTCTGTGATTTGTTGGATGGAGCATTTTATGTGTTAATATAAAAATCTTTTCACATTCCTGTTCTGTGAGCTTGGTCCCTGTCTCTCTCTCCCATCTTTGGCTCCATGGTGATTGAACTGTATGTATGTGATCTGAGCGCCATTCGGTAATAATGTGCGCTTAGATCTAAGATCTCAGATCTCAGATCTTGAACCTAGTGCATTCGGTATTTTGTGACATATATTTTTATGTAATTTTCAGTTTACTTGTAAAATGGAGTCTAGTCCCTATCCTCGGAGATAATTGAGTTACTTCCCAATTATCTGCAGGATAGGGAGAAGGGTTTACATCTACCTGTGGGAGTGTTCAACTATGTGCCATTGAGTTACTTCCCAATTATCTCCAGGATAGGGAGGAGGGTTTACATCTACCTGTGGGAGTGTTCAACTATGTGCCATTGAGTTACTTCCCAATTATCTCCAGGATAGGGAGGAGGGTTTACATCTACCTGATGGGAGAGAGAGACAGGGACCATTCCTGTTCTGTGAGCGTGGTCCCTGTCTCTCTCTCCCATCTATTTATGTATCTTGGGTGTGGCGGGTTTTCTCCATCGAGGAGAAGTGCGTATAGCATGGAGACTCCCCTCTCAGGGTGGGCCCTTTTGGTGCAGAGTGTTTCAAACTGCGTGGGGGTTCTGTGTAGGCACCGTTTGTTCGGGAAGGCCGCATAATATGCCCGTATTTGAAGCTAGTGGAAGTTGTCTAGGCCTGTAGGTACTTTGTCCCTGCAATAGTTGATAAAAGCTGAGCCAGTCTGTGTCGGTGTATGTCTGCAGGTGTTAATCCCCCTCCGACATCTGGGTTGTGTGTGATGGGTGTGAGGGGGCCGTCTGTGGTGGTGAGTTGGTGAGAGTATCGCAGCGTACACCAGATTTGTAGCGTAGCATCAATCATTGGGTTGCCTGTTCGTAGGGATCCTAATGTTAGGGACCCAAGCCCGGGAGGGGAGAGCACCGCCCGTCTGCATGAGTTCTATGGGCACCCAAATTTGGCTGTTGGGTGTGCGTGCCAGTCTACAGTCCTGAGTACCCCAGGAAGGATGGGAGTCCGGCGCCTCCTCAGGCCTTGGGGCGGTTCTGACCTTGGCTTTCCTCCAGGACTACTCTGATCTCTGGCTTCCCCTGACTTTGGCTTTCCTTGACTACGCTTCTGCTAATCCCTGCTGCACTGCTACTTGGAGCACTATTCCTGGAAAGCCGCCGTGCACAGACTCACAGATCAGGTGGCGTCTTACCTGGTCACCCTGGTCTGTGTCTACTTTGCAAGGGTGAGCGTATAACTCTGCGAGCCGGACTCCCCATCAGGTAAGAACCTGACACCTGTTTAGCTTTCCGTATGCAGTGTGGGGGATGGTGCTGGTGCCCACGGAAGAGTCCATCCGGGGAGCCAGAGGGATGTTGAGATCTCTGGCCAGCACCAGGGTTCCAACTCTAAACCTCTCTAACTGCGCAAGGGTTTTCGCTAGGAACCGGTGTTGTCCCTTATTGGGGCAGTATATTGTGGCGAAAGTGTACTTGTGTTCTGTGATCGTGCCTTTCACAAATAGGAACCTGCCCAGGGGGTCCGCTTGCGATGCAATGCTTATGAATGGGACAGAGTGGGCAAAGATGAGGCTACACCCGTGCGTTTAGCGTCGGGGTTATTGGCGTAAAATCCCTGGGGGAATCTTTTATCCATTATCTGAGGTGCGTCCTTCCCTCTAAGGTGCGTTTCCTGGAAAAATGCTATCGAGGTCTTCTGAGCACACAGGGTCCTCAGCAAGTGTCGCCTTTTTATCAGGAGAGTTAAGGCCCCTTACGTTGTGCGATCGTAGGAGTAAAGGCGCGGGGCAAAAGCCGGTTGCTATGGCTGCTCGGCCACCCAGCAGGGAAGGCCGGGACCAGGGGCCCCAGGGAAAAGAAGAAATAAGAAGAGGAAAAAAAAAGGGGGAGGGGAGGGGGGAAAGTGGGGCAGGTAGTGGAGGGGGGCGGTTTGGTTGATGTGTCTGTCTGAGTTTGTTAGCCTATTGAGGGCTTCGAAATAATAGTGTTCGCCCGCATTTATTGCAAAATAGTAGGTCTCTAAGCTGTCTGCGCTAGTCAGTGAGGAGGCGATAAGTGTCGTCCGTTTGGTCCCGTTTGTGTCGTGTCTCCAGTTCTGCTATCGTGTGCGTCAAGATTTTTGCGGCATGTTTCTTCTTCCGTTGAGTGCATAATTTAATGAATTGTCCCCGAATCACGCATTTGAGCACTTCCCACACCGTAAGGTCGTTTGGGGGAGACCTAATATACAGGAGGGTCAGTTGCTGAGGGACTAGGAAGTCCGGTTGGTTAAATCTGTCTGGGGAGTCCGGTATCTGCTCTCCCTCAACCCACGTTGTGGGGTTTTTAATATGTCTACTACGATCGATGAGAATGGGTTGTCTCACTGGAAGGGGTCAGAGCGGGCACTTAGGCAGTACGTCCCGGGTCTCGCTTAGGGGCCAGTCATTGGGGTCCTCGTCTAGCCTTGTGCGAGCCGTTGGTTGGCCTACCAGTCCGGTGACATGCGTCCCACTTCACTAGAGTTGTGGAGTAATGGACGTAGAGGGGGTTCCCGTGTCTGTAATATCTTCTCATACGGGGTGGGGTTGTCCCACCAGGCCAAATGATTCAGGGCAGGGGACAGTCAGCGGTCTAATACTCGGGGGTGTGGGTCATTGTCGGGGGGGGTGTAAGTCACTCCTGGGGGGGATTATTTGGCATCCCGATGGGGCAAGGTCACACTTTTGTGGCTGGCACCGCGTTTTCGTAGTGCTCAGGTAGCGTCTGAAACATAACTTAGTCAGCACACAATATTACAATATTAATTTAAGCGGTTTCGAGGCCGTGTCCATGGCTGATTTGGAACTGGACATAAGAACACTTTTCGGCTTGTAACAAAACATAGTCAGCACACTACATAACATTATTAAATTAAGCGGTTTCGAGGCCGCGTCTGTGGCTGATTTTAAACTGGATAAAAGAACACTTTTCGGCTTGTAACATAACTTAGTCAGCATACTACATTACAATATTAAGTTAAGCGGTTTCGAGGCCGCGTCCGTGGCTGATTTTAAACGGAACAGAAGACAACTTTTCGGCTTGTAACATAACTTAGTCAGCATACTGCATTACAATATTAAGTTAAGCGGTTTCGAGAACGCGCCCGTGGCTGTTTAGAAACTGAACATAAAAACACGTTTTGGTTTGTAAAGCACCACAGCCATGGTAGAGTAAAGTAAAACATAGTGAAACAGGCGGATAAGGCCCCTAAGATTCCTCCCCCTCCCCCCACTCATTCAACCAGTTGGGACCATATACCTCCCCGTTACGTCCGTGCAAGCTCATTTGCAGTGTGTGAGCCCAGGGGGTAGATTCGGATGATTTCTGTTCGGCTGTTTGGAGTGATTGGTAGCTGCCTTTGAATTTGGAAAGGGAACATCTTACGCGGCTTTAACCCCTTCCCTACCTGGGGTGCCATAACATAAAAGAGCAGAAATAATCTGAAGGAGCACAAAGGTAAAATAGGAGAAGGAGCACAAAGGGGCAGCAAAAAGCAGGAAGGGACAGAAGGAGCACAAAGGTAAAGTAGGAGAAGGAACAGAAATGAACAGAAAGGGTCAGCAAGGAGCAGAAAGGGTCTGCAGGGAGCAGAAAGGTTAAGTAGGAAAAGGAGTAGGAAGGGACAGAAGGAGCACAAAGGTAAAGGAGCAAAAAGAATAAGAAGGAGCACAAAGGAACAGAAATGAGCAGCAAGTAGCAGGAAGGGTCTGCATGGAGCTGGGAAGGACAGTAAGGAGCAGAAAGGGTCAGCAATGAGCAGGAATGGCCTGCAATGAACAGAAAGGGTCTGCAGGGAGCAGAAAGGTTAAGTA